TAACCAATGGACACAGACACCAGGGGGGTGAGGGCATGAGTGTGTGTGTGGGGGGGGGGGCCTATGGGGAGATAAGGACACATATGTAATACCTTAATCAATAAAAAAAATCTTTGGGTGAGGATTAACAACAACAACAAAAGAAAGTTGTAGGGAGTAGCTAGGGTTAAGCCTCAGACTCACCTGTGGCAGGGCCACAAACAAGTCCCCGCTTGGAGGGCAGAGCCCTCTTAGCATAATTAAGCTTGACCTTTTAGCCCTCCCTAGTTCCTTCCTAGGTAGCTAATGGGCTGTGGGAGTTGCAGCAAGTGCTGCCCAAACAAGTGAAACTCACAAGAACATTGTAAACATGTTGACCACTACCCTTGTTTTGCTTTGTGTGTTCTGACTATAAAATAAAGCTTCAGCTTGCAGGCTGGGGCACTGTCTCTCCATCAGAGAAGCAGTGTTCCACCAAGCCCCAGCTGTATTCTCTTGTCTATCTTCTTTAATCCTTCACTGCCCCTCCTCAGGCTCACCAAATCCTTGGCTGTGCTGGCGCAGCACAGACAGTTGTAAAAACCACAGTAAGTGACTAGCACAGTCGTGGGCAAACTACAGCCCGCAGGCCAGATCTGGCCCATTTGAAATGAATAAAACTAAAAAAAAAAAGACCGTACCCTTTTATGTAATGATGTTTACTTTGAATTTATATTAGTTCACACAAACACTCCATCCATGCTTTTGTTCCGGCCCTCCGGTCCAGTTTAAGAACCCATTGTGGCCCTCGAGTCAAAAAGTTTGCCCACCCCTGGACTAGCAACACTATATTTTACCTCCTAACAACACACATGAGAATAATAATTAGACCTGGCAGGTGTGGCTCAGTTGGTTGGGCATCCTCCATGCACTGAAAGGTTGCTGATTACATTCCTGGTCTGGGCAGGCTGGATCCCCGGTAGGAGGCATGCAAGAGATAGCCATCAATGTTTCTCTCTCTCTCTCTCACCATCTCTCCCTCTCCCTTCCTCTTTCTTAAAAAAAAAAGTAATAAATAAAATTGTCAATAAAAACCCTGGATACCATTTCAAATGATTTTCAAAAAAATGAGAATAATGCCCTGACTAGTTTGGCTCAGTGGATAGAGCGTCAGCCTGCGGACTCAAGGGTCCCAGGTTCAATTCCGGTCAAGGGCATGTACCTTGGTTGTGGGCACATCCCCAGTAGGGAGTGTGCAGGAGGCAGCTGATGGATGTTTCTCTCTCATCGATGTTTCTGGCTCTCTATCCCTCTCCCTTCCTCTCTGTAAAAAAATCAATAAAATATATTTTAAAAAATGAGAATAATAAAAATTATTCATTATTGCTTTGCTTAATGGATGATTTTTAATAAAAACTGTTTTAAATAATATAAAAAATGTTTCTTATTCAAAAGTTAATTTTGTCCTGAAAGCATCCTGGCCCAAGGAGTTATAATGAAAGGGGAACATAGGAATAAATTTTGTGACCTTGGGTTAGGCAAAGTGTTCTTAGGTATGGCTCTAACTGCAATAGCAACCAAAGAAAAAATAGATAAATTAAAATGTTTTAAAAATGTAAAAGTGTTTTTGCTTCCCTTGCCCTAGGAGATGTATCAGCAAACATACTGCTACACGAGATGTCTAAGATTTTGCTGCCTATGGTTTCTTCTAGGATTTTTATGGTTTCACGACTTACATTTAAGTCTTTTATCTATTTTGAGATTATTCTTGTGTATGGTGTAAGTTGATGATCTAGTGTCATTTTTTTTTTTTTTTGCACGTACCTGTTCAATTTTCCCAACACCTTCTATTGAAGAGACTGTCTTTACTCCATTGTATGCTCTTGCCTCCTTTGTCAAATACTAATTGAGCATAATGGCTTGGGTCAATTTTCGGGGTCTCTGTTCTGTTCCATTGATCTATATGCCTGTTCTTGTGCCAGTATCAGGCTATTTTGCTCACAGTGGCTTTGCAGTATAATTTGATATCTGGTATTGTGATCCCTCCTACTTTGTTCTTCTTTCTCAAGATTGCTGCTGCTATTCAGGGTCTTTTTGGTTCCATATGAATTTTTGAAGTATTTGTTCTAGATCTGTGAAATATGCCATTGGTATTTTAATAGGGATTGCATTGAATCTATAGATTGCTTTGGGTAGTATGAACATTTTAATGATGTTAATTGTACCAATCCATTAACACAATATATTCTTCCACTTGTTTATATCGCCTATCTCTTTTTACAACATCTTGAGGTTTTCTGAGTATAGGTCTTTTACCTTCTTGGTTAAGTTTATTCCTAAGTACCTTAATTTTTTGTTGCAATGGTAAATGGAATTGTTTGTTTAGTTTCTCTGTCTGAGAGTTCATTATTGTGTATAAAGGGAAACAAAAGAGAAAATAAACAAATGGGACTCCATAAAAATAAAAAGCTTCTGCACAGCAAAAGTAACCATCAGAAAATGAAAAGGGAGCCCACTGTATAGGAGAAAATACTTGCCAATGATACATCTGATAAGCGGTTACTTTCCAATGTATATAAGGAACTCATACAACTTAACAAAAGAAAACAAACAATCCAATTTAAAAAAATGGGCAGAGGACCTAACTAGATACCTCTCCAAAGTAGACATACATATGAAAAAATGTTCAAAGTTACTAATCATCAGAGAGATGCATTTGAAACGAGAATGAGGTATCACTTCAAAACTGTCAGAATGGCTATGATCATCAAATCAACAGATGACAAGTGCTGGTGAGGATGTGGAGAAAAGGGAACCCTCGTACATTGTTGGTGGGAATGCATACTGGTACAATCACTATGGAAAACAGAATGGAGTTTCCTCAAAAAATTAAAAATGGAACTTCTATTTGACCCAGTGATTCTACTTCTAGGAATATATCCTAAGAAACCTGAACACCAATCAGAAAGAATAAATGCACCCCTATGTTCATAGCAGTGCAATTTATAATAGCTAAGATTTGGAAACAGCCCAAGTGCCCATCAGTAAATAAATGGATAAAAAGAGCTGTGGTACATTTACACCACGGAATACTCCACAGCTATAAAAAGAAGAATTGCTTACCCTTTGAGACAGCATCGAGGGACCTGGAGATGATTATGCTAAATGAAATAAGTCAGTCAGAGAAAGACAACTATCACATGATCTCATATGTGGAATCCAAAATAAACTGATGAATAAAATAGATCCAGAGACATAGAAACATGGAACAGACTGAGGAATCTCAGCAGGAAGTCAGTGTTTAGGGGGTGGATGGGAGAGATTAACCAAAGAACTTATATGCATATATGCATAACCCATGGACACAGACAATAGTGTGGTGAAGGCCTGGGGAGGGGGCAGGTGCTGGGTGGAGGAGTACTATGGTAGGGAAAAGGCAACACCTATAACATTTTCAACAATAAAGATAAAATTTTAAAATGTTTTGCTGCAAACAATACCATCAAGAAAGTAATAACACAATCCACAGATTGGGAAAAAATACTTGCAAACCATACATCTGGTAAGTACTTGTACCCATAATATATAAAGAATCCTTATAGCCAAAACCGGTTTGGCTCAGTGGATAGAGCGTCAGCCTGCGGACTGAAAGGTCCCAGGTTCAATTCCGGTCAAGGGCATGTACCTTGGTTGCGGGCACATCCCCAGTGGGAGATGTGCAGGAGGCAGCTGATCGATGTTTCTCACTCATCGATGTTTCTAACTCTCTATCTCTCTCCCTTCCTCTCTGTAAAAAATCAATAAAAAATATATTTTAAAAAAAAGAATCCTTATAACTCAAGAATAGCCAAATTTTTAAATGGGCACATGGTCTAATTAGACCTTTCTCCAAAGAAGATATATGAATGGCCAATTAGCAAATAAAAATATTTTCAACATCTTTAACCATTAGGTAAATACAAATCAAAACCACAATGAGATACCAATTCAGACCCACTAGAAATGCTATAAATAAAAACACAAAGATGATAAGTGTTGGCAAGGATGTGAAAAATTGGAATCCACACACATTGCTGATGGGAATACAAAATGCTGCCCACATTGGAAAACAATTTGGCAGTTCCTCAAAATGTTAAACAGTTATCATATGAGCTAGCAATTACACTACTAAGTATGTACCCAAGAGAAATAAAAATAGTCCACATAAAAATTTGTATAATAATGTTCATAGCTGCATTATTCATAATAGTCAGAGTACAAATAATCCAAATGTTCATCAATTGGTAAATGGCGAAACAAAATGTATATCAATACAATAGAATATTATTTTTCAATAAAAAGGTACAAAATATCAATATGTGCTATACAAGAATGAGCCTTGAAACTTATGCTAAGTGAAAGAAGCCAGGCACAATATGCCACATATATTGTATGATTCTATTTAAATTAAATGTCTGGAAGAGACAAATACAGAAAGTAAATTAATGGTTGCCTGGGGCTAGATAGGGAAGATACAGAGTGATGGGGGGTGATAAAAATGTTCTAAAATTAGACTGCAGTATGGTCGCACAATTCTGAATATACTAAAAGCCAATGAACTGTACACTTTAAATGGTTAAATTATATTTAGCCATTTTTTAGCAGCTTGCTTGCAAGCTGCTAAAAAATTAAAGGGCCAACCATCATGATAAGAACATAATAAAGCAAATAATTATCTTAGAAATAGTTTTATAACTAAGGTGATAGAATGAACTTATTCAAATGCCAAAATTAACATGGAACATTTTAATAGGATGTTTCTAAATCAAACAAATGAAAATGGAAATTGCCTGAGTATTTTTAAAAAATATATAGGAAAGCTTATTAAATACAAGATTTTTTTTTCAATATTTAATCAGGTATTTGATACAATATAGGCACAGGCAGATAGTAAAGTTATGTAAAAATATACAAGAAATTTCAAGGGGCTGCTCATTGGTTCTCTTAGATCAGAACCAATTAGAGAGTGCTTAAGAAGTTGACATGCCTTTGGTACAAAATAAACTTCAACATGGCCTTGTAATTTGAAAGCTGCCACAGAGTAAGTGAGAAATACTATTAGACAGTTCCTGAAGCTCCTGGTTGAATTTTCCCCTCCTGAGATAGTGTGAAATCAACAAACTTGGACTCTCATCCAACAACTGATAGAATCTAAGAGACCTTGAGGAAGAAAAAAAAGGATGATGAAGTCCCTACATTAAGAAAATATTTGAATGGATTTAAAGCCTTAGAAGATTGTTAATAGGACAATGATTAATATAATTTAATTTAACACCCAGTGTATTTCCTTAAAGTAATTATGGTATCAAATGTAGACAGAAGAAACCTTAATTTCTAAACCTAAATGTTTTACTAAAACCACCTTTGTTAAAATAAAACACAATAAAATCATCTTACTTTTACTTCAGTGATATTTATATATCATAATACCATAATAATTCATTAAAAAACAAGTTATATATACTTGTAGTATAAAAGAAGTAGACAATGGGGGGATAAGAACACATATGTAATACCTTAATCAATACAAAAAAAAGATGTATACAAGGTGGCAAAAGTAGGTTTTCAGTAGTGGGTATGTGAAACAGTTTATTCTTGTATTATTATTTGTTAATTATTGCATTATTTATTTGTATTACAACTGTAAACCTACTTTTGTCCACACCTGCATAGTGCTAAGAGACTATTTGCAAGGGTTTCTCAGCTAGATTTACTATTGATTCTACTATGAATTATTCATGCTCTAATTCATGTATCCTTTTATTTCCAAAATTTACAGGAAAATAAATGTTGCTAAGTTCAGGAATGTGAAAGTGATAGAGCCTTTTTGGTTAGTCATAATGGATCTGTTGATAATCCAGAAGTTGAATATAACTACTATTATAGCCTGGGCAGCACAGGTTATGCCTATAGAGACCCTGCAGAGGAGGCCATAGTCATTGGACCACCTGAGGTAAGGGGTAGGAAGGTGTAAAGTGAGGAAGAGGGAAGAGGAAAGAAGAGGAATTTGGGGAATGGGAAGGGAAGAGGGAGAAAGGAAAAACAGTAATGATAGTGAGTTAAAGAAATTCGAGGCCAAAAGAGAAATACATATATAGGTTAAAATTACATATATGTAAATAAGCTGTACTGAGCAACTCAAAACTGAAAATGGAGTTGTGATTTCTCAACCAGAAAGTCAAAGAATCACAGGATTTGTTAAATTGGAAAAGGCCTTAGCACATTGTCAGTCTTACTCTTCCTACCAAGCATTGTCAGGGAATGCACTCAACATCAGAGAAATATAAGGGAAGCCCCAAATCCAGAAAGTCTTATAAAAAATGAAAAAACACACACACGTTAATCTTAGAAATCAACTTCACTCAATGAATTTGTAGAGAAATAACAGGTAAACATTACCAAATATACATAAATTCATTTTTATAAAATTTATAAATTATAAAATTTTAAATTTATAAATATATAAATTGATAATTAAATAAATGGTTCACTATATACATAACTGTCAGAGTCCCTGAACTATACAGTTCTAATAAACTGCCTGCTTCATTGTATCATTTAAAGTTGTTTCAGCAAGCGTGTTTTCTTACTTGTTAATTTACTGATTTAATTTATATTTAAATATTATTTAACTTACTATTTTTAATTTTATTTTTAATTATTGTCTTTTCTGTGAACTTTAATCCAAGTCAATTCTAAAAGCTGTTTTCAAAAAGTTACATGTTTTCCTAATAATGTAGTGTGCTGGGAAACACTTTCTTTGAAATTTCATAATTAACCCATCCTACTTTATATTCATGCTCTGTGAATCATTGTAGTAGCTAATAATATTTTTTCAGAAAGCTGGATTTTTAAAAATGCATATTTTTAAAATGTTTAATTTGGTGAATACTATGGGCATTTTTCTTTTAAAGAACAAATTTAAGACATATAATTAAAAAACCAGGCAGACTTTGAGTTAGGAGAGATGGATCAGGACTTCAGGAACACCCCCTGCTCAGTTATATTATACATTGCAAAGCACCTTAAATGCTTTTGGACTCAAATTTTTAAAAATATTTTGTAAAATATATTTTAATTGATTTTAGAGAGAAAGAAAGGGGGAGAGAGAGAAAGAGAGAGAGAGAGAGAGAGAGAGAGAGAGAAACACACCCTCTAATGGGCATCCAGTCCACAACCGGGCTTGTGCCCTGACTGGGAATCAAACCTTGACCTTCTGGTTAATAGCTTGTCATTAAACCACTGAGCTACATCGGCCAGGGCTGGACTGAATTTTTTAATGTAAGATAGACTAAAGTTGTCTGCATCCAATTCTAACTTCAAAAATCCTATTATTCTTCAATTCATATTTTATAAGAAAAGTCAGCAGGAATGTAGAAGGCAACAACCAGACATTCATTTTATAAACAACTCTGCATCTGCAGAGATCTTTCTTTAAAACATGTCACTGATTTTCAGAGACAAGGGCAACCCATTTTCAAAGAAGACTCCCCTCAGTTCTTCTGATAAATTTGTATTTCTTGACTCATAACAACAAAATTGTCCATAATGAAAATTAAGACATTTTAAATTACATATTCAGTCAAAATCTAACAAATCTTCATGAGACAGTAAGAATTAAGCACTTACTTTTACTTGAAGATCCTCAGAGCTTTCTGTGACATGTACAAAGAAAGCAGCACTGGCAGAGTGTTTGTGACTGCGACGGCCTGTGCATGCTCCGGAGTGTGTCTCCCGATCTGTGCCACGGCCCAGGCAGTGGCAGACCTAACGTGATCTTCTGGTTCTTCTGACAAGCAGACTGACAACTGGGGCACACCCTGCAGCGTTGATCAACAGAGCAAGTGTTATGAAACCAGAGCAGGATTAAATAGTCTCCCGTGTCTCTCAAACATTAGAAGAAATCATTTGGCCTTGATCCTTTTTTCCTAGATGGTTCAATAAACAAGCACAGCACAGGGGCTGTCATTTTTCAAGTCAATAAAATGACTAGAACTAATTTACCTTAATGATCTGTTACAACCCAACTACTCTACCTCTGCTAGCATTTACTCACCAAATACAGAAGCATTTAACCAAACAACAGAAGCCACAGATTAGTACGTAGGTAAAACCAGATTCCACTGGGACAAATTTTAAACGCTTAGATTTTAAAACCTTTTATTTTTCTTTGTTAAAAAGTTAATTTAGAATACTTTAAAATTGCCTTTTCACTAAGTATAAAAGATCTGACAACAAAATAACTACTAGAGATTTGAAATCCAATGAATAATGTGAGCCAGAATTCTATTTCAGTAACATTTAGATGAACTATATTTACTAGAACCTTTCCTACACTAGTCATTAAATTTCCATTAATTTTGGTCAACTTTTAAATGGTAGTTTTGCCCATTTTAACATGATTGTCAAAGTAGAAAGGATTACTTTTGTTACACAGATAGTACATGCTTGTATTTTGCACTTTAGGCTTCAGTTTTATCTAAATAAAACAGAATTAACTAAAGGGCCTCAAATACATCTGTTTCTATATCTAAGGAAGAATCAAATTGCCAAATCAAATTACAATTCCAGATTCTGTATATGAATAACTTTCTAACTAATTTGAAACTATAATAATTATCACCTTTTAGTACCACTAAAGTCAAGGTCACACTGCTATGCTACCATAGCAAAGTCCAAATGATCATATACACTTTTTTCTCTGTGACTTTAAATTTGATTATTAAAACCAATTCCCTGAAGATACCCACCATATTTCTTCATTGACTTTTTTTCCAACTAAAAATGTTTGTCTGCCAATACGAAAGGTCGGGATGAGGGAACTTTCCAGAAAGTTCATACTCTGGTACATATCAAGACTGAAGAAGCAGGAGGAAAAGAAGTCAGCCTCCTCCACCCCACCCTCAGTTATTATGAATAGCAAACAAGATAAGAAACAAGAATGTGATTTGAAAATTAGGAAGTATTGTTTACATGTGAAGTATTTTTAGTCTTTAGAGTACTATGTAGGAAAAAGAAGAACACAGAACTGTGCAGTTTGACTCAAACTGCTGCTGCCACCTTGATCTTCAACTGGCTGAGACACGGAGGTGGGAGAGGCCAGCAGCCTCCTCAACAAAGGAGGGGGGCGCCTCCTGGTTAGTTTGGGGAGGAAATACAGGAAGCAAAAGCAATTGCTGCTTCTTTCATCATTTTTCCTATGTATAAGCTTTCTGCGATCCACAAAAGAACCAAGAATCAAAAATCCCAGTAATATCCCCACAGTGACCCTTCAGAAGCAACACTCCTCCTGTTCTAGTCACTATCATAGTCTTTGGTAATAGAACAAAAGGAAAAGCGTAGGATAAAAAGCGAGCAAAGCAAAGAATTATCAAGGAATAGGTAGGAAATAAAGATCTGAGGCTCCCTTTTAGTCTGAGGATTATCGAGGGCTAAAAAAAAATCCACACTTCTGTTTAACATACAGCAGCAGGCGTTCTGTGCTGATAAGAAACCCACACCCTAGAGGGTTGGTGGAGACACTGTAAGCACACAGCCCCTGAAGCGCTCCTCAGGAGATTAATTCTTATCCATAATTCAATCAATATTTCTGAGCACCTACTATGTGTCAGGGCTACCCTGTATGGTGGGTTAATACCAAGTTGTAAATTGAAATGAGGTCAAATTCCTAGAGCAAGGACACAAAACATCACTGTCTGACATGTGCTCTGAATTGCCTACATCTAAAAAGAGAAATTTAGTTCATGAAAGCTGAAGGACAGTGGATAAAAAGGGATGTCCCAGCCATTGTCATCTCCTACCCAAATGACAGATAAGGGGAGAATGACCACTGGGCATGTAATTTGTAACAGTTGTCTTTAATCAAAGTATGCTTTACATATTTGTAAATATATAGTCAGTCCTTCAGGATACAAATACACTGAATATTTCAATACAGGTAATACTAATACTCAGAGGTATGGCTATTTTGTAGATATTAAATACTGAGTAAAACTTTAAACTGCCTACAAAGTAAACCTTACTTCAAGCATTGCTTTTAGAAACTTACTAATAAGCCTTGAAAACAGGCTGAAAATTCTTCAGGTTCCTTTCACTCTGGTCAGTTACATTTTATAATCTATGGGAGAGTATTACTATGGTTCTGTCTTAGAATATCTCACTGCAATAATTAGAAGAAAAGCAAGCAAGAACAAACCTTGCTAATGATCACCGCCATTGCCAGGTTCTCAGAATGAGCCGCCACATAACCAAGCATCATGATGCCTTATGTTTCCTTTGCAAGATCCAATGCAGTCAATCATGGCGGCAACTCCTGCGTTCACTGTCAGCTGCGAAAGCTAAGGGAAATGTTGATGTTAAGGGAAAGGAAGGAGAGTGTGGTAATTGTGACTGTAAAGCGTAAAATGATCTTTAAACATGACTTTAATATTGCCAAACATTTTTACTTAGGACCTAAAAACACCTGGTGAAATTTGAAATATGATTTAGTGAAATTACTCTACTTATTAAAGAAATATACAAGTATAATAATCCTATTTTGAATGTACAAATATACCCACTGTACGGAGCTTACTCTGTGCTTCAATTTTCATGCAGCTATGGCACAACTTTTATCCCTATTCTAATAGATGTCAAAATTCCTCACCTAGACACTAAGCCTAGGGCTAGTTCATAACTAGCTAACTACTGAAAGCCCCAATCACAATTGTGAGTATGAAGCAGATTACTCACTGAATGCTGAACGACAATGTCAGACTTGAAGTATCCTAGCCTAATTATCCCCCTTGCGAACAATGGTTACTAGCTATTTACACTTCAAAAATAAAAAATCTCAACCAAGATGTTAGGTGAAATAAAGAATGAGGACTTTAAACTTTAGTGAAATGAAATTGATTAGTCATAACATACACAGGAAAAAGATACAACTGCAGAATCCACCCTATTCCTTTGGCATCTAAGAACTCAGAGGGGGAACCACCACATAAAAGCAGCTACTAGAGTAGTCACTCTAGGCTAGGGGCCTGGTGGTCTCTCCTGCCTGGAACTGGACAACCTCTTACTATTCCCAGCTGACCTAAAATGACAAGAATGGCAAAGGTCTACAGTCCCCACAATCTAGAAATGGAAAGCAGGAAATGATTAGAAACTGAGATTTCTGTCTCAAACTCCATTGATATAACCCAGTAAGGTTCTCAACAAGGGACACTTTGGTCCCCTGAGAAATATTTGGCAACATATGGAGACACTTTCGACTGTCACAGTGAAAAAAGATGTTACTGGCAGGGGCCAAGGATGCTGCTAAATATCCATCCTACAGTGTACAGGGCAGTCCCCCACAACAAAGAATTATCTAGTCCAAAATGTGCATAGTGCTCACGATGAGAAGCCCTGACCTCGCCAAATCGTGTGGCACAGCACCTGGGCCTTGTATACAAACTGGTGTTTTACTTTACAAAGAAAACTAACTAATATTATTGTGTTTGAAAAGCTTTTTATTTTTACCTTGGCTGTATGTTGTGCAATCTTCTTAATTAAAATAGAAGCATTTTTCTTCACGTATTCATCTTTGTCTCTCAGGCAGGTAGGTACAACTGGAAAAATCTCTGCCTCAGCCACCATTTGGGCCAGACCCACAGACTGTTTTGCCACCCGAGAGTGGAAAGGATCTGAGGCTGTCAAGCGAAAACCAAAATAAAACAAAGCATCACATAGAGTCCACTGCAGAGATATGGTATAATTTAAATAGCTTAATATGGTCAAATTCCTTTATAAAAAGAAAAAACAATTACATTTGTAACATAACTTACGATTTCTGAGTTTTGAGACATTTTCATCCTAGTCTTATACCTAAATACTGAATTTCTTAAATTCCCTACTTTCCAAATTAAATGTCTTAGTTTTCTGTGGACTATTTAAATCTCTATCAGATGGTCAAAGAATATGACTTCTGGGTAAATACTATTTCTTAATTATGTAGTACTTAAATTGTTAATTTACAATACATGTGGCAATATAGTACAAAAAAGATCAGGCAGAACTAACATCTTATTTTTGGCACGATGCTGTAACATTTCAAAGAACTTTCCATGTATGCTTAGTTAACATTAACAAATTTAAAACCTTATAGGATATAACGAATTATTAGCATACAAAAGTATAATTGGTGACTATTAACTGAAAATCAGATTTTAGAAAGCTATAAAAAAGACAAACAAATATGACAATTTTCATAAGAAATTTAAATATAATTAGTGGTGAGCTAGAAAACCTTTAGGTGCCTTCCCACCCTGATTAATGAAATTCAATCATTAATGTGATTCCTTATTTTAGCAATTAATGTTAGTACTAATGTTACCTCTAATTTTTAACATTGCACATATTTTCCCCAATAATGTCTTTATTATATAATCCTTACAGCATAATTTCCACACACTAAATACATAATATAGTCACATCTGTTTTCAATAATAATTTATAAATTATTTTTGAAAATATATTAAACCATACACATTTTCCATTAGATTAACAGAAATCTGTTTTTTAACTTATCTTTAAATACCTTTAATTTAGCGGCAGGGTTCAGAATCATCTGGGCTTAGTGAGCAGTAGCTCCTGCATCCACTACTGTCTGTGCTAACTCTGGAGAATGCTTTGAAATATCACTGAGGTCCGAAGCAGCAATCCTTTTCAAAGCAATTTCTGGCTCCTGGATACAAAGTACTAACAGAGGAACTGCTCCACATCCACCACAGCTTGTGACAGTTCTGTGGGTCCAAGAAAAGTAATTAAGTGAGTATGGGTGACTGACCCTTGTGCAAGCCATTTTTCTCCCTGACAGATACAGCAAAGAAAAAAAGGGGAGGGTACTTCACTGTCTCGACATCTGCATTTCAAATCAGCCTTCCTGGTTTCATAAACCATGTGGACCAATCCTGAGCTGAAAAGAATACAGGTCAATAGATGGACCTCCATTTACATGAACACATTTGAGGTAGATTAGGCTGAAATGGCTTGTTATTCTTTTTTTTTTTTTTTTTAAGAGAGTAAGCAGATGTCAGCTGTTTAAGCTCTGACAATTCTGCACTTCTCGATAGGCAAGCTTTTTATGCATGGTTTACAATAACAGAAAATTAAAGTACCAAAAATTTACCAACCACACTAATTAGGCAGTATTTTGTACTATTTACATGAGTAAACATTAACATGAATCTTGTGCTAATAATGTTGTTTTAAATTCCATTCATCTTACAATATTTTTAAAAGAGTTTTTAAAGATATTATATAAAATTAAAAGGTGCATTTTTATTATACATATAAAAACACGTTCAAAATGAGATCTATGACTAAACAACATACTTTAATATATATAAATGTTGATGTTAAGATATTTATATTAACCATTTTACTTGTCAGAAACAAACATCTTTTGAATATACACATTGATTTACTTGTGTGCCCAAGAATAACAGCTATAAAAATAACACATTTTAAATTTTAGATAATGAGAGATAGGCAGACCCATATAATATGTATGTAGAAAGACATCTTTTGAGAAGCATAAAGCACAACACATAGTTACAACATTCTACTTTCATTATATTCATGGCCTCCCTTACTTAATCACAGATACCCATATCTATAATCTCTTCTTTTCAAATTATGTTCTAATTTTCCACATATGTAGTGCCCTGACAATTTATGTCTTAATAGCCAAACTATCCATTCAGCATATCACTTAAAATCTTTAAAAAATATATGGTGTTTAATTTTTCAAAAGATGGGTACTATCACATTATCTAAAAGGGAATAATGTTAGAAAATACAAGTTAGCATCCAATATTTGTTTTTCTTAAATTATTACAATTATCTTAGAAGTCCCAATATTGTATAAACCATTCATTCTTTCATTAAACAAGTATTAATGGAAGGTCCGTATGTGCCAGATGCTTTCAATGCTGGTGTAGATGACAGACTTCTACAAATTAACACTACATTGATTAGCAAATATGTTTCAATTTTTAAAATCTAGTGTGAAATATGAAATACAATGAGAAGTCAATATATAATATCAAGAACCAGAGGCAGATAAAAATGTTTCTTTTAAAAAAAGACAGCAGCAACAGCAGACTGGAATATCAACCTAGTACTGTAACATCCCCCAGAAGCATCTCTGAGATTCTACTGCAATTGCATGAAGACCAACAAGATAGCAGGTGAAACAGGTGATCACTGTTTCTCTCTCTCCCCCACCCCACCCAGAGAAAATAGAAAGAAATATAAAGCGTGGTATTATATGTAATTTCTAGATATAATTTTCATATTTTATGTTAATTATTAACATGTTAATTCAATTCCATCTAAATTTTACAGGTGTTGTAATATCAGCTTTATTGTATATATTTGAGGGCACCTAGGAGATATATATATATATATAATGGGCTGAACATTTTGAACATTTTGTTTCTAGAGAGTATAAGGATTTGTTCATATATTTATGCATTTTTACTTTTATACATAGTTTCTGAGAGTCAAGAAAATGTAGAAGACTACAACTGTTTAAAAGTACTATTAATAAAAATTTAAGGTTCTTTAAAAAAATCCATTATCTTTGTAATCCCCACACATTTTATTCTTTTTAAAAATGTATTGATTTTAGAGAGAGAAACATCAATTTGTTCCACTTATTTACGCATTCATTGGTCAATTCTTGTATGTGCCCTGACCAGGAATCGTACCTACAGCCTTGGTGTATTGAGATAACACTCTAACCAACTCAGCTACCCAGCCAGGGCTTATCCTTTTCTTTCTTTTTTAATCCTCACCCAAGGACATGCATAGAGAGAGGAAAGGAACTAAAGAGAGATCGATGTGAGAGAGAAACATTGATTAGCTGCCCTCAGCATGCTCCCCAACTCAGGGTCAAACCCGCAACCCAGGTATGTGCCCTGACTGGGAATCAAACTGGCAACCCTTTGGTGCACCAGAAGACGCTCAACAAACTGAGCCACTCTGGCCGGGCCTTATCCTTTTCTTAAATAACAAAATGCTATATCCTCTTTTACCTGAACTCTATAATGTTAATAAAAAGGCAAACACTGTTCTTTTAATTTGTTACCCAATTCCATCCTAAACTGTCTTCTGTTCTCTCTAGAGTAGTGATGCTACATGTGGGGAAAGCTGGGATATCATTGAAGAAAGATTTATCATGAAAGTAATGAAGCATTCAAGTACCTGATTGGAGCTAGTGATTTTGTGCTTGTGATTTCCTATAATTTACATCTCCAAATTTAGACAATTCTACAAAACTGGTATCTGCATAATGCACACCCTACTATACCACAGGCTCTTTCAACCTGCCTCCTATCACTACTCTTTCTCCTATGGCATATCTTTCTCATCTTCCCTACTATTGCTTCCTCTGGCATTTAGATGCCAGGGACTGTTGGTGTCTACCCAACAGCCTTTGTCAGCCAGGGCATGGGCTTATGAACCAATAGTGGCCAATGGGATCTGAATAGAAATCAGCTAAAAGCATCTGTAAGAAGTTTTCCTCAGTCATAAACAGAGATACACAGGAGGAAACACTGCCTCTTTGCTAGACATGAACATGTCTGCTAATGGCACCTGGAACTCCTACATCCATCTTGCAATTATAATGAAAGAAATGACCAATATGCTGAGGATGGCTGAGTACAACAATGAAAAACACCTGGGTCTTCCATGACACTGTTCAGCTGCATAACCAACCTTGGAGCTGCCCTGATTCTGAACTTTTGTCATCCTATATAATAAAGAGGTAATATGCAAATTGACCCTCACACCCTCGTGTCACAAGATGGCCACCCCCATGTCATCACAAGATGGCTGCCCCCATGTCGTCACAAGATGGCCAGCAGGGGAGGGAAGTTGGGGGTGACCAGGCCTGTAGGGGAGGGCAGTTGGGGGCGATCCGGCCAGCAGGGGAGCAGTTAGGTGTCAATCAGGCTGGCAGGGGAGTGATTAGGGGGTGATCAGGCTGGCAGGCAGAAGTGGTTAGGGGCAATCAGCAGGCAAGTGGTTAGGAACCAGCAGTCCCAGATTGTGAGAGGGATGTCTGACTGCCGGTTTAGGCCTGATCCCACAGGGCCTAAACCGGCAGTCGGACATCCCCCAAGGGGTCCCAGATTGGAGAGGGTGCAGGCTGGGCTGAGGGACACTCATCCCCCCCCCCCCCCCACACACACACACACACACACTGCACGAATTTCGTGCACGGAGCCTCTAGTGTGAAATTAAAAATGTCCTTATTGTTTGAGCCACTTGTAGTTGATAATTCTGTAACTTACAGCCAAAAGCATCCTCATGTAATTCTGTCCTCTTTTGTGTTTAGTGTAAGTGCATATTTTCCTCTCTTCCTTTAGTCCCTGAGTGTTCATTAAGTGCTTACTATGTGCTAGAAACTTGACCAGATGTTGAGGAAGCAGAATAAGAGAGTAAAACATTATCTGTTCTAAAAGACTCTACTAGGTGCTCAGAAAAAAAAAACAACAGAAAAAAAAACAGTGACCCAAGAATTTATCTTTCATATCTGAAAATATCTTAGCCTCATTTTAAATTTTAAGTGAATCTTCAGGAAGTATTTTTTTTAATCCTCACACAAGGATATGTTTGATATGTTTTACTAATTTTAGAGAGAAAGGGGAAGAGAGGGAGGAAGATAAAGAGAAACATTGATGTATGAGAGAAGCATCATTCAGTTGCCTCCTGTATGTTCCCTCACCAGAGATTGAACCCGCAACCTAAGTTGTGCCCTGACTGGAAATCACACTGGCAAGCTTTTGGTGCTCAGAATGATGCTCCAACCAACTAAGCCACACCAGCCAGGGCAAAAAGGATTAATTATTAAAAATTACACCTTCTGCCTGGCCGGAGTAGCTCAGTGGTTGAGCGTCAACCTATGAACCAGACGTCAGGGTTCGATTCCTAATCAGAGCATATGCCTGGGTTGTGGGCTTGATCCCAGTGTGGAGCATGCAGGAGGCAGCCAATTAATGATTATCTCTCATCATTGATGTTTCTATCTTTCTCTCCCTCTCCCTTCCTCTCTGAAATCAATAAAAATATATTAAATTTTTTAAAAAATTACACCTTCTATTGTGCAATAACAACTGACATAATCATATACTATTAATAACAAACAAGATTAGTAGTAGTTATGCAAAGAAAAATGCAGAGAAAAAGAAGCTATATGTTATAGCAACATACTACAGTATTTACACTGGGTTGATGGTACTATTGGGGATATATTTTTCTTCTATTTGCCAAATTTTCTTCAATGTAATTACATATTTCTTTTCCTTTAGTTGATTTTTGGGGAGAGAGAGAGACAGAGAAACACTGCCATGAGAATGAAACATCAATGGGCTGCCTCCTGCACATGCCCCAACCAAGGATAGGACCTCACTGAGAATCAAACCAGCAACCTTTCAGTGAGTGCACTGAATGACACACAACCACAAATGTAACCTGAACAATAAAGATTTAATTAAAAAAACAAACAAACAAATTTTAAAAAATTACACCTTCTATTGTGCAATAACAACTGACATAATCATATACTATTAATAACAAACAAGATTAGTAGTAGTTATGCAAAGAAAAATGCAGAGAAAAAGAAGCTATATGTTATAGCAACATACTACAGTATTTACACTGGGTTGATGGTACTATTGGGGATATATTTTTCTTCTATTTGCCAAATTTTCTTCAATGTAATTACATATTT